CCTTTTGAATTTTTTCCTGTCCCTGGGCGTAGAACCCACAAGGCAATTTTCTGGGTTTGAGTACAGTGAGCTAAAGGTTTGATGCTGATTTTCTTTCATTTATAATATTAATATGCAAATTCGACCATGAAACCGATCCCAACCGGCTTGGGTCCATTTTTTCTCAGTGATCTCATATAAAAGCCCTGTAGCAAATGATTGATGATTCAACACAACGGTAACAGATCCAGAGGTGACATAGTCAGGCGGTACTCGCCTTCCTATTTTATCGATAGAAAACATTTTCATTTGTTTTAACAACAAATTTCGTTTGCTTTCAAATGCAGAATAATTTGATATTTCAAAGAGTAATTCTTGCAAAAGATATGCGTCCCATATCTTGGGTCGCAACAAATGCGTTGCAATGCCGCCCTTTCTTGTGAATGGATGATCCATCACTGGCCAGACAGGTTTGCCCAAAACGTACAAGCAGGAAAATGAAGAAATAACATCAAAAGAAACGAACAATCCTTAGTTGCTGGAATTTCAACAACAGAAACGACATCGAGAATGCAATGGATGTCAAATCAGTAAAGCTTTTAGTTTTACCCCATTGTCGCCGCAAAAAGGCGCATAGCCCATTCAGTTTCCCCCCATGCACGGTAACCCACGTTACATTTTATTTTGATCTGACTGAAACTTAATGTTGTCATCTAGTTATCTGTGCCTCATTGGCCATAGGTTTGATATCGGAATTCAGAGTAACAAAACTGGCACGGCAGAAAGTCACCATTACATAGTCAAAAAGTCACCATTACATAGTCAAATATGTCCCTTTTCGAACTAGAATAGAATACCTCCAAAATGTTTAAACCTGTCACTTCTCAACAGTTTCTAAAAATCAAATGCAGGTACTGACTATTTCATATTTCCAAAGTTTCCCCTTAACTGTGTCCAGGATTGTAGTTAGCGCGGTGTGGATAATGTCAAACGCCTTGATCAAGGCTATTTGTAAGCCTATCGGGCGACCATCTTAATTCACGTGACAGTCGGTATTTAATTCGGTTTTTTTCTCCACATGCGATCCACATGGTATTTGTATTTTATAAATGTATTTGCACGGGGGCGTTGATTCCCTCGTCGGAGATAAGTCAAGACTTAACCAATTCTGTTTTTTATCTACTAGAGTCGCGCCGATCGATTTCGGCTTTCACGGTCATAGCCCAACTAATCTAGCCTCTTGGTCATGAAGTCTAACAACACGTGAAAAGCGAAATCTCGAAACAGCCTGCCGTACAATTTTGCTCCCGTAGCGCACGAGGATTTTGTTTGTTTTCTATTCCCAAACGAAATCGTCCAACTCTTTCGTTGTTCATGAACATACGCGTGGTATCGGTCACTCTCTGGGTAAACAAAGATGGCGACCGGTGCCTTCAATTAACGAGGGCGCTCGTTCCATCCAGTGGGTATAGAGATCAGTGACATCGTGAGGTACTGTACCAAAGGATGAGAACATCCTGAAGCACAATGATGATTCTATCTGAGGATTAAACCATCTTGAAATAAGGATGATGGCAACCTGCAAGTTAGATGTCGAAATCAAAAGTAAGCGATAAATTATCTAAGGATGTTGACATCCTACTCTGAGGAACTCACCATCTCTTGAAAAATTGGAAGCTGTTATGTTGTTTCCAGGATGTTTTCATACAGCCATAAACTCGGAATGTCGTCATGTATCGTTAGGAAGTTGGAGGCCTCCATAGTAGGCATATTTCCAACCTTACAAACGAGTCCTGTAGTTTTTCACTACAAGTCCATGGACTTTCTCGATGTCCTCCTTCAATGGCGAAAAGCAATGCGTTGGGTTTTGCATGGCGCGGATGTCACCCGTGCTGCTCCAGTGACGGGACAGAGTATACAGCAACCTGCACATGTGCATGCTGTGCCAACTGATTGGCCAAGTCCCTAAAGACGTCTCGTATGGACCATGCCTTAAGAATTGTCGAGCTCCTGAAAGGAATTATGATGTTCTCATTAATCAGTGACCGGAAACTTGAAACTTGCTGTAGTATAGTTTGTATCATGCATTGTGAAACGGTAGCAGTGTGATCTCAGTCATTGATGAATATCGGAGATATCTTGCTTTCATCACGTCTCTAGACACCGTGGTCAGTCTGTCTC